GAGCATGAATTTTTAATGAAGAAGGAGAACCGCTGGCACGGCCTGCAGATTTGCAGGGCCCCTTTCCGCTCGTACCTCCGGACAATTGAACGCGTCTGTTGCATCCTGAGAAAAGCACGACCTCTTATTTCGAGGCTCGGGTGCGACCAAGGCCAGAGGGTCCTCATCAATATGTGGTTCATCTTCATAGTTGGCGGGCAGAACATCATCCCCGACTGAGTGCACCATTATACCTGAAAAGCAGGGGGAAACAATGAATTCGATGTTATCAAATTCACCCTTCCACCGCAGATCAAGTGAAAGGGTGACGAACTCGACCTAAGTCATCGACTATACGCTAAAGCGGACTATGTTTTTGTTGGAGGACTACGTTTTCATGGGGGGTATTCACTCAAATGGGCAAGAAGCCCGAGTCAACCCCCATTATCCGGGGAGATCGTCCCCTGTATCATGGCCACTACTCGAGGAGATTGTCCCCGACATCATAAACTAATGAATTTCAATGAACATTCATGAGTGTTCGTCGCAGAACTCATGAACTCCAATGAACATTCATGAGTGTTCATCATAGAACTCATGAATAAACATCCAATCAAGGAAAATATTAAGTGTTTAATCTAGAAACGTTGAGGAAATATGTTGTAAAGGAGATATAACTTACTTGGATGAAGAATTCTTGAAAGAAATCTGGAAAAGTTGAGAGGAAAGCTTCACGCGCGAGCAAGAGAAGTTGAAGGAGAAAACTTGAGAAAATGACAAATGAGACTCAGGGGTCCCCTTTTATAAGTCACTCACACCTCACGAGGTTCATCATGAAAAGTCGTCATTGGAATGGGCCTTTTGGACTCCCCCTGAAGGTATGACACCCCAAAACAACAGCCATGTGGCCCAACAATCAACCACGTGTCCATTCTCAATAGACGGACACATCCCCGACTTCAACGCGTAATCCCCACGCGAGCATGATATAGACACTTCACACGAGGGAACGCTCGACGCCGTGGCTGAAGCGTGTATACGGGCACATTCTTCACGATCTATCTCGAAGGAGAAATAACGTTCGACATCATGATAATCCCTTGAAGACAGACATGTCGAAAGAGAGCTCGCAGAAGCTCCCCGTAACTTGTACGGTCCTCTCGGGAAAACAACTGACCCTGTCTGTCTCACTGTTCGTTTGTCCACAAGCTCCCCGACACACTCAAACAGGTTGTCCCCTACGCGGGAAACAACTCACTTCCTTTCAGGAGACTTCGACCATCCTCCCCGACCAAATCCTCTCCGGCTATAAAAACTGAACTTAAGTCATCACCCTTTCACCTAAGGGAAATAACTTGGGGGGCTCTTGATCTGGACTGAGCCTGCACTTGTCCCCCGGTTGGGAGGCCCAACCCAACACCCTTGTATAAGGGCCAAAAGTAGACAGTCCAAGTTAGGGATCGTTGGGCAACTCCCCGCATATTCGTTGGGGAACGTGGTCCACGTCCCCACGTCAAAGTCATCTTAACTGTCCTCTGGAAATCACGGGTCCAACCCCTATTCTCACTGAGCAGTTGACCAAGAGGGAGTCCACTTGCTGGACTCCATACACATGTAAGCCCTGACAGTTTCCGTTATTGGGTCTCAACGTGGCCCAATAATGGGGACCTTGGTCAAGCGTTGTGGACTATAAATACTCTCTCTTCTGAGAGGGTAATGTATTGAACAAATTCTCACTCTTACTTGCTAGCTCATTCTGAATCTCACTTTGGCATCAGAGTGTCTTGCATGTACTCCCATCTCACTCTCAAATTTTACTCGACGTAAGCTGTGACAGTCCATTCTGATCAACTACGATAAAGTAACATGTCTTATTCTTAGTTAAATAGTTAATTAGTTAAATAGTTGATTTGAATACACCTATAACCAACCAGAATAATTTAGTAAAATAGTGACGATAATTTATATGTATGGAATATCTTTTATCATAGTTATCAAATAAGTCTAAAAATTATATAATTTATTTTTACAAAAACATTTATAAATGAATCATATCATACTATTTTTAATATAAAAAAATATATGTTATCATTAGTTGATTTAGTAGCCTTTTAATAAAATTAAAAAATATATAAAAATAAGTTATGTCAGAGTTATGAAAATGATGCTATAACAGTAATTTATTGTGAATTGATACTTTGACATCTAAAGTGACACCAAATACCGTATTCCAATACGGTTTTGTTTTATATATTTGAGAAAAACGTTATTTTTTCTATAGTTAAATACATTTACATTTACTACAGTGTATATACGGTGTTCATTTGATGGATGTTCAAATAATATTGCTTTAATTTATTAGTCTAATGGGTTTTTAGATTAGAGTTCTGAAAATTAAACAAAACAAGGAAAGAAAAAACTTCTTGCTTAATGAAATTTAAAAGAGCAATTGTGCTTTCTTCATTGAATATCTCAAGGATCGAAGAAAAACAAATTCAATTTTGTAAAACTCAAACAGAAAATGTATATGTTTTGAAAAGATACATTTAAAAATATATATAATAGAGTAAATTTATAATTATTAAGATTTATTTTGCAACATTCAATATGTCTTTTCAAGTGGGTAAAGCTACCTAACTAATTTGGTTGGATGATGATAATAGTAGTAATAATAATAATAATAATAATAATAATAATAATAATAATAATAATAATAATAATAATAATAATAATAATAATAATAATAATAATAATAATAATAATAATAATAATAATAATAATAATAATAATAATAATAATAATAAATTCTGAGCTAATCCTTAACTATTTTATAAATAAAAAATAATAATAATCAAAAGGAATGTGCATTGGTTTTTTTTTCCAACATTAATATGCAACTAGTCTTTAAATTCCAAAGAGATATTAACATGAACCGGAAATACCATCTAAGAAGTTGCTACAAATCAAATCATGTGCCAAATCAATAAATTAATAATGTATTATTTCAATTTAATTTCTTTTATCCGCCTTCATTTTAATATACATATATTCAATCTAAATCTCCACACATACACAAACACTTGCCTTCCTCTTCTCAACTTTAATTCTTATCTCATCATGACTTCAAACACCACACCACTCCTTCCATGGAAGGTTCGCTTCACCATGTCTACCATTTCTTCTCTCATTTCCGCCTCTCACCGCTCCAACGACACCGTCAACCGCCGTCTCTTCAACTTTTTTGATAGAAAAGTCCCTCCTAACTCTAACTCCAAAGATGGAGTTTCTTCCTCTGACGTCATCGTGGACCCCACGCGCAATCTCTGGTTTCGCCTTTTTACTCCTTCCTCAAACTCTGTCTCCGACGCACCTCTCCCCGTCTTCGTGTTTTTTCATGGCGGCGGTTTTGCATTGTCTTCTCCGTCTTCTATCGTGTACAACAATATTTGTCGTTTATTCTGTCGTTCGTTTCCCGCAATTATTGTATCTGTTAATTATCGTCTTGCCCCTGAGCATCGTTTTCCATCGCAATACGATGATGGTTTGGAAATCCTTAAATTCCTCGATCAAAATAACAATGTTTTAGGCAAATCTGCTGACATCAGCAAATGTTTTTTGTCGGGTGATAGTGCGGGTGGAAATATAGCCCATCATGTAGCGGTTCGGATTCCCTTAGAAAAGTTTCAAACTTTGAAAATTATCGGTTTAGTTTCAATACAACCGTTTTTTGGAGGTGAGAAAAGAACTGAATCTGAGATCCGGTTCAAACGGGCACCTACTGTTTCGATGGATAAAACTGATTGGTATTGGAAGATGTTTTTGCCATATGGGTCAACCCGTGACCATCAAGTAGTTAATGTTAGTGGGCCTAATGCAATGGATATTTCTAATGTGGATTATCCGAATACCCTTTTGTGTGTTGGTGGGTTAGACCCGTTATTGGATTGGCAAAAGAGGTATTATGAATGGTTGATAAAATCTGGAAAAGAAGTGGAATTAATCGAATACCCAAATATGATTCATGTGTTTTTTTATTTTTCAAAATTGCCAGAAACGTCTCATTTTATTTCTAAAGTTAAGGATTTCATGACTAGACAGATGGCTAATGTAAGTTAGTTTAAATAATTTGGAAAAGTAATCTTCAATTGTGTTGTTGTGTGTATGATTGCGTAAAAAACCAAAAATAAAGTGTATACTTGTTTGTCTATATATATTATATGAAAGCTAGACAAATATAGGTCACTCTAGGAAACTGGTATTATGTTATTTTTATATTGGTTTAAATGAATTAATTAAGCAGCACCAAAAATGTCTAAATAGTACAAAATCTAAACAGTTTAAACACCACTACAAAATAAATATAGGCTTAGCATACAATGTTCATCCAACTAAAACTCAGGCACATCTAAAGCAAAATTGAACTCGTAATTGAAACTACTGGCTAGAACCTAACAAACTCACAACACTCAGCCACTATTTAACAGATGCTTCAGCCACCCGCGAAATATACGACTCCTTGACAACACTACTACAGGAGTAACTGACACACCTGAACAAAAATAAAACACCACAGTTGAGGAAAGACATGGAAAAAGCCTGATGCAAACGCCCCGAAAAACTAAAGCGTCAACAGATCCTCAACAAGGCAGAACACAATAAACTTTAGACCAAGAGCCAGCGAACACTGAAAATCTACACTAAGTATCACATCTCCTTAAACAAAAGCCACACACTACCACTGTCACTGCCACCTGAGCAACGAAAATGTGATAGCCAGACATAAAAAGGAAGTCGACTCAAACTCCAAAATAGGACATTGCTCTACAAGACAACCAAAAAGTCAAAAATATAACAGAAAACCAACGAGGATGTCCTGTTATCTGCACAGACATCAACACTACTAACTGATACGAGAGAAACAATAATAGCTGAAAGGCCCATAACATAAGATTTCCAAATCCAGTCTCAGCATCTTGATCTTATGACTCTGTACAGCCTAGGCAGACCCTAGGATCTGCATTTCATTGAGCTATGTTCACTTTCAAGTTGATTGATTTTGTGGACAACCACCTATGAGAGTACTCTTTTACACCCTCGAGTAGCTTTCCAGAATCTATCCCCTTGTTGCGGAACAGTTTGTCAATCCTAGATTTCCATATGCTCCAGATGGACGTGAACCAAACCACACTGACTTTAGACGCCATTTCCCTTCTGCCTCCAACCAATCCTTCAAATTGAGAGAAATGAATTGTTCCTTCTCTATGTAGTGTTGAGTCTATCCTGAACCATTTACAAACATTTTGCCACAGACTTGCAGAAAACATACACTCAAATAATAGATCAGACATTGTTTCTTCACACACATATTCCCTGACACAATTGAACGAATCAATCCCGATTACACCCCTTTTGAGAATGTTATCCTTCGTCGCTAGTCTATTTTAGAACAACCTTCAAACCATGCTAGACACTGTTAGACCTCTTGCAAAAAATATTTATAAGAGGGGAAGAGAGAGAACATACACTACAATAAATAACACTTTTCATTACGAAGGTTACACATCGAACAATGAAAAAATGAGGGTATAGGTCCTGGGAACGCTATGTTGTATTAATTTTTTTAAATAAAAAACATTAGACCTCGATTATTTATTATAACTGAGGTAAGATATCAATAACAGAGCTCTCTTCGACACCCAATTGCTGCATTTTATGTTTTTTTTTTCAATTGATAGTAGGCATTTCTCACTCGACGCCTTTCTAATTTCCATTTTTATTTTGTCTATTTGTTCCATTAGTATTTACCTCGACTACAGGATCCAATTGAGACGTAATATATTATGCATTAACATTTTCATAATACTAATTTCAAAATATTATTTTAATACTTTATTTGATAAATTTTAACCACTCGATTTTCTTAAATATCCGACGTGATATATCTTTTAAATGAATTCCCAGAATATGGCGCTATGAAGTTATTTTTATAATTTTATATTTTTAATAACACTACCACGTCAATTTTTGTGTAAAACCAAAATGACACTTATTTTGCATGAGATACTTCATAGAACTATCTAGCTAGTTTCTAACTTTTCATTTACCCTATCAACACTCAAACATCAGTCTGTCGCTCTCATTTCGGAAAAAAAACCTAGGCGATATTCATCAAAGCTCTTCTAAAAGATATTAATCAAACATCACTTTTGCAACAAGTTTGTTCTTCACTGAATCGTTAGTTTGTATATTCATCAACATTAGTTTTTCACTTTGTCTATTGATCATTTTATTTAGGGTTTCTTTGTTACTTTGTCTATTGATCATTTTGTTTCATCTTTATTTTCCATTTGTGTTGACTGAAACGTTACTGTTGATAGTCATGGTCGATTCGAAAAGCACCTCCCATACATCATCTGCTACAAACTCTGTTAATACACAAAGTCGTAAAAGAAGAACTAGAGGTGCCACGATGTATACAAAGGTTAAAAAAGTCAACAAATCTGGTATTTGGTACCCGGTTAGAGTTGATGCAGTAACTGACATGGTTGAAGGTGAAAAAGCTGATGATTTTTTAGGTTACATTGTGTTACAAGATAGAAGTAAAGTGAGTATTTTGATAAATAGTTGACATGACATTGATGATAGATTAAAATTTGACATATGGTTTGATATTAAGGTATTTATCTTGTATCCTATCATTTATTTTACAAGTATATTTTTTGTGCAATACTAATAACATCTCTATTGTGTAAACATATGATCACTTCATTATTACTCCAGATAATGACTACGTGAAAAAGAAAATGCTTGCTTATTATGGTGAGCTTTGGAGGGGGTTTAAGACACAACTCACCCATGATTATATTAAACATGTAGAAGATAAAGAAAAACCTCCATATGAGGTATATTCATTTATTGATAAAGCTACTTGGGAGAAATTTATAGAGTCTCACAAAACTCCTGAATTCTTGGCAAAGAGCCAAAAAAGAAAATCGAGCTAGAAATATCTATCCACATAGGTTATCTCATGGAGGATATCAAAGAATTGAAAAAATTTTGAGGGACGAAAAAATAAAAAAATGGAAGAAGAGCTGGGAGATTCTATAAGTCTTGATCGAAGTTCATCTCCATCATCACGCCACGATAAATGGAAGAGGGCACGCCAAAGAAAAGACGGAGAGTACGCATCAGAAGCTACACGCGAAGTGACTCAAAGGATTGTAAGTAGATACTTTTTTTCAAGAATATTTATTTTAGTTAAATCAATTTGGTAAAGATAAAATTTAATGTGTTGTAGGATGATCTTGTTGAACAAACCAAAGTTGGCCTCTTCACTTCACAAGATCGCCATGACATCTTGGTAGAAGCGATTGGAACGGAGGATCATCCTGGGTGTGTTCGTGGTCTTGGTAGAGGCATTGGCTTCAAGGCATAGTTTGGACATTGTCAATCATCTACAGAGAAAATGAGTAAGAGAGAGGTTGAAGAGATTGTTGTTGTTAAGTTAGAGGAGCAAAAGGATAAACTGTGGGAAAGGTTCCTGGAGGAGGAGGGAGAGAGGTTATGGTAAACGGTGCAGGAGAAGTTCTTAGATGAAGAGAGAGAGAGAGAGAGAGAGAGAGAGAGAGAGAGAGAGAGAGAGAGAGAGAGAGAGAGAGAGAGAGAGAGAGAGAGAGAGAGGGAGAGAGAGGTTGTGGTAGACTATGCAGGAGAAGTTCATTGAGGAGGAGAGGGAGAAGTTGTTGCAAATGGTGCAGGAGAAGTTTTTGGAGGAGGAGAGGGAGAAGTTGTTGCAGGAGGTGCGAGAGAGTGTCCATAAGGAGCAAGAGGAGCGAGATAGGATGAATGATAAGATCAGGACCAAGAAGTTTACCCACGGTGTTCTTGAGGTATAAGTTGTATTTTGTTGTTATTATTGTCTACGTATTTCAGTTTTGGATTGTATTTATGTTATTTTAATGATGCAGACATTGAGTTCGTTGGGTATACTCATCCTTACAAATTTAAATCATATGGAAATTCGAGAGAATGTAGTTGAGAAAGTTACGGGTGATAAAAGCGCGACACATAGTTTTTCTGCCAACCAGAGCAGTGTTGTACCCTCACCACCAAATCAAGATATCCTTCGGAGACTAGAGATATGATGCCGAGTATTGAATCCATTACTATGGGTTTCAAATTAAGTCATGATCCACTTTGTCCGTTATTTCTTAACAAGACTTCGTTAAATGAAATTTTGAAGGAGATGAGGAACTAGACGAGTCCATAATGCAATTTTGGTGCTCGTAAGTAGTGTTATGTTAATTTCTATTTATATACATACGTTCTTGTAATTTAACATAAATATTTGACCTTGAAGGTACATTCATGACTTATGTTTATAAATGAATCTTCTTAACAAGTATTGTATCTTAGATGCTGCGAAGATTGCTCTTACTCGCGATTCTCCAGGTCACGAAGTCAGAAATTACGTACAAGATAAGTTGATGGAGAGAGGGAGCACCAAAGATTGTTATTTGGACCCGTTTTACCTCGAGTAAGTATATATATTAATTTGTATTTTCATTTATAAATAAATTTTATCCATATTATTAATTATTCTGAATGTTTATGCAACCAACATTGGCAATTACTTATCATATGTCCTAAGAAAAATAATATATTTATGTTTTGCTCAATTCACTCGACACTGCCCGAAGTTGTGATCACCTCTTTGAATGGGTAAGTTGTGTTATTTATTATACTCAAATTTAAATTTAGAATTGAATAGTTTTTATTCATGTTTAATTTTAACCTACATGTGTAAAGCGATGGAAGAGTATAATGCGCGAAGAAAAAATCTTATCGGTAGAAAACCAAACTTTCATTATCCAAGAGTAAGTATAGTAATTGTGCTATTTGACATTATATTAATTGTGTGTATTAGTGTGACATTAATAAATGAAAATTATTTGTAGTGGCGTAAACAAACTGATTCCCATTCTTGTGGATATTATGTCATGAGATATATGCTTCATATTGTCCCTGATGGCATTACACAAGGATTTATGAAGAATAAGGTATTAGCTTAATCCATGTTATATATACTTCTTAAACTAATTTTGTTGTTTTTAGATTAAATTTTGTTCTAATTATATGAGCTTAGAACCAAAAATTGTATTCAACAGAGGAAATTGATGACATCCGATCTCGTTGGGTCAGTGTCTTCATATCTCTTTATGAAGCTCGAGAACAAGAACAATAGTTTCTGTTGGTTGCTAACAATGTTATTTTATATATGAACAGAGGCTTTCTTATTTTGTCTTGACAATAACAATGTTATTTGGTATATGAATAGAGGTTTGAAATGATATATGATATTATTCCAATTCTGTTACATATTTTGTAGTTTATGTGTAAAATAATACTGGAAGGCTAATAAATTTATTATAATTATGTGATACATGCCAGTGAAAATGATACAGGAAAAAAATGATACAGGGGGCCAATGAAATTGATAAATATATCCAAAAAGATAAATAATAAACTCCTCGGTTATTCTCTAAAACCAAAAGGTAAAACGAATACCATTTTACCTCGAATTATAAATGAAACTGATAGCTATATGAAGCGCACAATAAAATGAAAATATAAATAAAAATATGCAATTCCTAGGGATCGAACCCATGGCCTTTTTCAATAATAACACCGGTGTTAAAAACACTAAGGTGTTAAGTGCAGACTTCTCATGACGATCTTAGTAACCTCGACTAGGTTGCTGAGGTAAAACGCATTTCGCGTCCGATGTTACAAGCGTTATTTATAGTAGTGATAATATGGAAAATATGAAGTTACTTATTTTTATTAACAGTTTCTGTTTTTTAATATTTAATATTTAGTAGCAGTTATAGGGTAGTTATGGGGGAGTTATGGATGGTGTGAATATATATTAAGGAAACCACATGTTAAAGGGAATATTCAGAAAATATTTGAGTGGTTATTTAAAATGAAGAGGCCCAAGGCTCTCAAAATCCTTGGTAGGAATCACATGTGTTTTGAGTGACATTTCAATTTTGTAATTCTGGGAGTGTTTGTATTCTCTCTCTGTTTGAGATATTTTCTCCATAAAATATTTGATAAATCTCTATTTTATTCAGTATTTATATTCTTGATACTTGTTTCTATCAACTGGTATCAGAACAAGTAAGATCTGTGTTTAACAAATGGCATCTACGCGAGGAGATATGGAGGCGAGGCTGGATTCATTAGAGCATGGATTTGAGAGGTTACTAAAGATGATGGAGTAGGATATGGCCGAACACGTATAAGAAAGGGCTGAACATGTAGAATCAAAGCAAAGAATATATGA